GCCTTCAACTGGGTGAGGGCATTTTCGGCTTCCTCCGTCCAGGTAAACGGTCCGGAGCGTTTGAGAAGCTTAAATAAGGGTAACGCCTTCTCTCCCAGCCTCGATATGAACCGACTTAGGGCGGCCATGCAACCGGTGACGCATTGCACATCCCTAAGTTTGCTGGGGGGCGCATCCGCTCTATAGCCCGTATCTTCTCAGGGTTGGCCTCAATGCCTCGGGCAGAGACCAAGAACCCTAGAAGCTTGCCCGCAGGTACACCGAACACACACTTATCGGGGTTTAGTTTTATGCGGGCGGAGCGGAGACTCTCAAAAGTTTCCGCTAGATCTGAGAGTAACATTTCCTGGTTGCGCGTCTTTACAACCAAGTCATCGACATAAGCCTCAACATTACGTCCTAATTGGTTACCCAAAGAAATTCGAGTAGTACGTTGAAAAGTAGGACCTGCATTCTTTAACCCGAAGGGCATTGTCGTATAACAATAGGTTCCTATGGGGGTAATGAACGCAGTTTTTTCCTCATCCTCCCTAGCCATGCGAATCTGATGGTAACCAGAGTATGCATCTAGAAAACACAAAAGGTCGCACCCCGCAGTGGAGTCGACAATCTGATCTATGCGAGGCAGGGGGTAAGGATCCTTAGGACATGCCTTGTTAAGGTCGGTGTAGTCGATGCACATCCGAAGCTTGCCGTTCGCCTTGGGAACGACCACCGGGTTCGCCAGCCACTCCGGATGGATGACCTCACGGATGAATCCGGCTTCCAGAAGTCGCGCCACCTCCTCGCGGATGAAGGCTTGACGTTTCGGGGCCTGCCGCCGCACTTTCTGCCGGACCGGCCTTGCGCCCGGCCGCACGGCGAGACGGTGCTCAATCACCTCCCTAGGGACCCCGGGCATATCCGCCGGTCTCCATGCGAAGACGTCAGCGTTTGCCCGCAGGAAGGAGACGAGCGCGTCTTCCTATTTGCCATCCAGAAGACCACCGATCCGTGTGGTCTTGGACGGGCCGTCGCCCAGGGCAACCTCCTTGACCGGGACCTCATCGCCTGTGATCATCCGTTGCCTCGGGGTGGCGGGGGCGGAAGCGCCAAGCCTCTCGTCGCCACCCTCGGGCTTGGATGCAGCGGCGAGGTGGTCCGCGCGCTGCTCCAGACAAGCGAGCGTGACTTTGAGGTCGCCATGGACAGAGATGGGGCCACCGGGGCCCGGCATCTTCATCTGTAGGTAGGCGTAGTGGACCGCCGCCATGAACTTCACCAACGCGGGCCTCCCCAGGACCGCGTTGTAGGGCAGACTGAGGTCCGCCACATCGAAGTTCACCCGCTCCGTGCGGAAGTTGGCGGATCCACCGAAGGTGACCGGTAGGTCGATGTGACCTAACGGTCACGTGTGCCCCGGCGTCACACCGATAATTGGCTGGGACGGCCGGAGCACCATCCCCGGGGCCTTGATGGCGTCAAAGGCCGCAGGGGAAAGGATGTTGAGGGCCGCTCCCCCATCAATGAGGACACGCCCCAACTTCACGTTGCAAACGGTGGGAGAAACCACCATCGCAATCTGCCCTCCCCGGGCAACGCACGGTGGGTGGTCGGTCTGGTCGAAGGTGAGGGCAACCTCCGACCACCGCGCCCGACACGTCGCCTCATGAGTAGGGGCCGCGGCCAGAAGCTCTCGCTTCATGGCCTTGAAGCTCCGGCGAGAAACGTGAGCACACGCTCCCCCATCGACGGTGGCAATGGTGGCCCCAGGCTCTTGGAAACCTAGGTCATCATCGCCGTCATCGATGTCCTCGGCGGAGGCCTTCTGCTTGGCCTCACTTCGCCGATTACCGGAAGGAACCGCCGGGGATTTGCCCTCTCGGCGCTCCTGCCTCCTCTCCTCCTCCCACTTCCTCGTCCGTTCAGCCAAACTTTTGACTGCACGGCAGTCCGCGAGATCGTGAAGGGAAGTGTTGTGGACGGTGCACCACTTGCCGGTTGGGCGCTCCCTGTTGGGAGCGCCGGCCTCGTTCTTTTTGCCTCCCGCAGGCCTCCCCTTTCGGGTGGCCCGCGAAGCGCCCTCGACGGCGAGGACATGACCCTCGTCATCGGTATGGGCTGACCTCTTCTTCCTCCTCCTGTCACGCCGCCCTATCTGAGCGGCGGATCCGGGGGCGGCCGAAGCTGCCACACCGGAACCGGAGGGGTTCTAAGTCCATGCCTCCTCCTTATGAGCCACTCGGTCCGCGAGCTGAAAAAGCTCCGCGGTAGTCTGGGGCTCCTTGGAGGCGATCTTTTCAAGCATGCGGTTGTGCCGCACACCCCCCCTGAACGCGTAAATCACCGCGTGCGCAGGGATGCATGGTATGGTGTTGCGGACTTGACAGAACCGCTGAATGTACGAGCGAAGTGACTCATCATCCCTTCGCTGTACTGCGTGCAAGTCCGCTTCCTCACCTGGGCGCGGATATGTGCCTTGGAAGTTCATGGTGAACTGTTGGCACAAATCCTCCCAAGAGTGGACAGACGCGGGTGGCAAGTTCATTAGCCAACCCCGCGCTTGTCCTTTCAGGGCCATGGGAAAGAAATTCGCCATGACCCTGTCGTCACCCCCGGCGGCCTCGATCCCGGTCGTGTAGACCTGGAGAAACTCGGCGGGGTTGACGCTCCCGTCATATTTTTCGGCGATGGTGGGCCGGAACCTTGGGGGCCAACGGACATTCCGAAGGCTCGCCACAAAGGCTCTACAGCCGACACCACCAACCGGGGGCACGGAGGGCTGATCCCCGCGTCCGTGGTGAGGTGACACTCCGGACGAGGAGGCGCCCTCCGTTGCGTGGGGAGCACGTCGGCCATTACGCCGGCGCTCGATACTGATGCGAGCATCCGGTTCCCCACGCAGATCTTCCTGGGTCGGAGGCGTTGACGAAGGAGTGGCGGCCGAATGGCGAACAGCGGCTGCCGCTCGCCGCGCCCTCCGTCTTGACGATGCGGAGCCGGTGGTAGCAGCACCAGAGGCCTTGGTGGCGGAGGACCGCCCACCAGCATCTAGGCGCTGCCGTGCAGTCATGACCAATTTGGCCACATCGTCCAGCCAACGTTGGGCTGGAGACTCCGGGTCATGGGCGACGGGCGGGTGACGTAGGAGCGCGCCCGCAGCTTGGAGCGCGCCCTGGGGCGTGCTGCCGTCGCCGTAGACGAGGAGGCGACGCTCCCCATCTCGCCGCCCTTCTCCACCTCCTGTGGGTGTCGAAGTCGCGGATCCTTCGGCCCTCTCGAGCGCCTTCTCCCGCCTAGGACTTTGGCGTGGAGGGGGCGGTGGAGTACGAGCTCGACGGCGTGGGTTTGGCTCCCCGTCGTCACCGCTCATACTCGGGGAGAGGTCGTGCGCCTTTGCTGGCTCGGCCATTGGGCTGAACAGGAAAAGCTTGGCGCACACGAAAGAGTGCGAGAGCTCAAAAAATCCCTCGCAGAGCCCCCTACCTGGCGCGCCAGATGACGGAGCGTGGGGCTCCTCACCGGGAGACCGCGCAGGCCCCCCTTTGCCGGTTCGGCCGGGGACTCAGGGAGAGATTCTAAGCTCTCTATATGTGGAAGGCTCGCGAGACAGGAAACACACAAGACACGGGTGATGTATACAGGTTCGGGCCGCTGAGAAGCGTAATACCCTACTCCTGTGTTTTGGGAGATCTGTGTATGAAGGAGCTACAAAGTATCAGCCAGCCTCTCCCTTGTTCTGGGTTTCTAATCTGGAAAAGTCTAGTCCCCCCTCTCAGTGGACAAGGTCCTCCTTTTATATCTTAAGGGGATACCACATGCACCATTTCTCTCTTTTTTTGTGGGGACTTACCCCCCCCCCTTTTTCATAAATGGACGGAGATTTGTATAGTTGCCGTCCGAGTCACCTTCTGATGAGACGGCCCACAACTACCTCCACTTTCGCCGGGAGCAGGTGCGACGTGGAATCGTGGCTGTCTACTAACGACATGACCGGTATCAGACCAGTCACGTCGGTCATTCTTGTCCACCACGTGTCAGCTTAGCAATCTACATGCTCGCCCTTCTTCACACAACATCTTGCCTGTAATGGTTAGGATGAAGCCTGGCATATATCTGACCAGGACTAACGTGCCATCTCTAGGAGGTAACACGCTAGCTCCAGCTGGGGACGAGCGCCTAGAAGCCCTCGTCCTGACGGGATGGGGCGAGGCGTGCGTCAGATCGCCTGTCGCCACCTAACCCGCGATCTGACCGGTCTGTGACTGGTCACAGACCGGATAAACGAGTGCACTGCACTGCGTTACATGCGGCGTGACACGCTCAGCCAAACCGCAATAAATGTGGTTAGGTGAGCCCCACTGTGCTCACCTAACCCATACACGCGGAGCAAAAACCCACGAGGGGTCGGGGCGCCTCGGCCCTCGGGGCCGAGGGGGGTGCGGCCCGACCCCCTCGGGGGGACTAAGAGGAGGGCGAACGCATCACCCTCGGGCCCGACGTCCCTCGGGGGTACCAGGCTACGTGTGCGATTGTGTCTGCCTCAAACCTCTAGTCATGATACTCCTGATCCCATGTCACCGACAAATATGGTTACGACGGTATTGTAAGAGCAGGCACAATAGCATACTATAAACCAACTATAAACACACATCGAGAAGAACAAATTTGTAGCCAGCTGCAGCACAAATACAAGACACAATGTTTGTCTGATAAGTGGGACCAGGTATTACTAGTGTGGTACATATTTATAAACAACTATTGTATAAATTGACTGTTAAATTAACTATAGATGATTTGAATCTAGTACTATTAAACTTGCTCTAAACCTCTTTGCTCATTACCTGGGTAAGAAGTTAGGTCCCCATCGTTTGGTTTTTTATGGAATAAAAATAAATTTATAGGTAAAACTTTTATATAGATGTTCTTGGTGGCTTAAAAATCAATGTTGAAAAAGAAACTATATTGAAAATATCACAAAATCAAAAATTTAAATTTTGGCTTTTTCTTTTACTGATTAGGCCATCCGATGGGAGCCTTAGTACTTGTGGCAACCAGCCTGATGCTGCTGATACTACAGCATAGTGGTGCATCTGACGGGGCTAGGGCTGGGTCTGGAAGTATCTGGCAGCCCCAGCCCGATTGTCCAGCTCCAGCGAAGTGCGGCAACGTCAACATTCCCTACCCGTTTGGCATAAGAGAAGGTTGCTTCCGACCGAAGGGCGGCTTTAATATCTCATGCAAGCAAGAACAAGCTTATATTGGGTCAGATTTTCTGATTAAAATAAATATTTTATCTTGATTTCTGTTAGCACGTTCTTTCAAATTGTTAAACGGTGAATTTCATGCGGAAACTAAAAATTACTTTAAAATATCAGATAAATTCATTTTCAAGTTTAAAATAATTAACTACTCCTGTACTAACGGTTTTCCTGTACTATACCTTTATCAGACCGGACATTAGGGTCACGAATTTTGATGTAGTCCAGAGTGAGGCTCGCATCCTGACCGATATACCATCAGGGACGGTAGCATGGAAGTACAACAATGAATTTGATCCAATTGCATGGACGTCCAGAGGAGGATTACGACTTGGTAATCACCATATGGTTTCCAGCGCCAAGAACAGATTCACAGCAATCGGGTGTTCAACTGTTGCATTCATCTACGGCAGAGACAAAAATGGTAGCAATGGACAGTTTGATCAGTTCACCAGCTTATGTGGATCGTTCTGCTTCGACGAGGGTAGCATCGAAGACGGCCCAGAGTGCTCCGGCATGGGTTGTTGCCAAGTCCCCATTTCAACCAACCTTAGGAGGTTCAGTTTAGGATTCTATAATTATAACACAACCAAAAAAGTTCTTAATTTTAGTTCACGCAGCTATGCGTTCGTGGTCGAGAAGGATCAATTCAAGTTCAAGAGTTCCTATGCCAAAGCAGACAATTTCATGGAGGAGCTCGCTCGTGGGATTCCTATAATTCTCCAGTGGATTGCTGGTAATGAAACCTGCAAGGAAGCAGCCCTGAAGGAGTCGTATGCTTGCGTTGCCAATAACAGCAAATGCATCGATGTGATAGAGGCGCCCGGGTACAGATGCAACTGCACCCAAGGTTACGAGGGAAATCCCTACCTCAAAGACGGCTGCCGAGGTCAGAATTAATTCATACGCATGTGTTCAGGTTCATGGTTAGAATTGGGTCTTTTTATGAGATGGAGGGGATAAATTTGTTCAAAAGGACTCCAACAAATAAATTTGATCACTCTCTCTCAAACACACACAGAGCAAGCTAAATTAATTATATATGCACCCTATATATGCGAGTTGCTGTTCTCCATGGATTCATATGAAGTTATTATTATTGATTCCTCACTTTGTTCAGTTGTTAATATTGCAGACATCAATGAGTGCAACGCCACAAGATTCCCGAATTCTTGCAAGGGCATCTGCACTAACACCGATGGGAGCTACGACTGTAAGTGCCCACTAGGAACTCACAGCGATGATCCAAAGAACAAGGAATGCGTCCCACAAGTGAAGCTGGTCATTGGTAATATGTTTTTCACGCTACATTTTTCAGCTGCCAAAACTTTTTCTCTAACTGTTCATATTTACAGCGAATTGAGATGCAAACCATACAGTTTTTTTTTCGACTATATATGTTGTTTTCTTAGCAAAAAATAACAGGTTGTTTTGTTTCTGAAATTTTCTACTTATCCGTTTCTATTCAACCTAACCAATTCCATTCCAACAAACGGAAACAACAAGTCTGTCATAATGGGGCTAGTCGAGCTTATGATAGGTAATCATCCATTTCCAGGTATTTGCATCAGCATCATCTTCCTCATCATCTGTATCTCCACTCTGCTGATCAAGATTCAGAGAATGAAGCTGGAAAAAGAGAAGCAGAGGTTCTACGATCAGAACGGTGGCCACATATTATACCAGAAAATTATCTCAGGGCAAGTCAATACAGTGGAAATATTCACAGAAGAGGTACTAAAGAATGCGACCAACAACTTCGACAGCGGACAAAAGCTTGGCGCCGGTGGTCATGGCATTGTCTACAAGGGCATTCTCAGGGACAACAATGTCGTCGCCGTGAAGCGCTCCAACTTCCTCCACGTGACAGACGCCGAGGAATTCGTGCAGGAGATCATCATGCTCTCGCAGATCAACCACCGGAACGTGGTCAGGCTCATCGGCTGCTGCCTGGAAGTTGAAGTGCCCATACTGGTCTACGAGTTCATCTCCAATGGCACTCTCTCCTACCTGATCCATGGCGATAGCAGGCGGTATGCTTCACTGAAACTTCGTCTTAGGATTGCTCAAGAATCAGCTGAAGCATTGGCATACCTGCACCTGTCGACGAACCGGCCTATCATCCATGGCGACGTGGAGTCTCTGAACATTATGCTCGATGATAGCTACACGGTGAAGGTGACCGACTTCGGGGCATCACGGTGGCTGTCCAATGAAGCTGTCGAGCAAATTGCGATGGTGCAGGGAACCCGAGGGTACCTGGATCCGGAGTACCTGCAGGAGAGGAAGCTGACGGAGAAGAGCGACGTGTACAGCTTCGGCGTCGTGCTGCTGGAGCTGATCACTGGGAAGAAGGCGATCTACCGCCACGATGGCGATGGCGACTTCGAGAGCCTCGCAGGATCGTTCCTGCGGGCGATGGAGGAGAGGGTGGAGAACATCTTGGACACAAGCTTGGCTGGTGCCAGCATGGAGGCGCTGCCCCTGCTCCAGGAGGTCGCCAAGGTGGGGAGTATGTGTCTGAGCGCCAAGGGGAAGGAGAGGCCATCCATGGCGGAGGTGACCGACATGTTGAAAGCTGTAAGAATTGCGTGGAGGGATCTTCTGGTTTCATCGGAGTACAACGTGACGGAGGTTTTCGTCGACAGTTCAGAAGCTCCTCCATCTGGCAACCCATCTTCCGCTGTGTTCTGGACGCCGGACATGCAGTCTCTAGAAGTTGAAACTTTGAGGTGATGTTTACAGTCTAGACTGTTTGCAGATATTCAGAGTTGCATTGTCTGCAGACGAGTTGCAAAGGTGTTTGTTCTTGTTATAAACTATTCCTATGTGGTTTTCGTGACTGTTCTAGCTGTCAATTCTCAGGTTTGCTATCTCAAAATGGCTATTACTTAGCTTTGCCAGCAATGATTTTAGTAGTCTCAAGTGTAACAGTAGAGTAAAGCATACATTGATATCTTTCAAACAGGTTTCAGATGGCATAAAGTATTCAGAATATGATATAGTAATTAAGTTGCCTGGGGGGGTCTATAGTCTTGTTGTAAATTATTCCGTTTTGACAACTCTAATTTTTTTTTCTCTGTAAATTCTCAATTCTAAACTCTATTATCTTCTGTGTCGCCCTTCATCCTAGAACTTGCGCGTCATATCATAGATCGCTGCAGCGGAATCGACATCGCGCACGCCAAATTTGGAGGCCAAAATCCTTGGGGTCTCGTGGGGGGGGGGGGATTTGGCGGCCCGGCGGCGGCGTCGTGACTCGTGTGAGCAAAGAGTAGAGTTCGAGGAGAGGCCGGCGGAGGTGGACGTACCTGGATGCGGCGGTGGAGGCGGGGCCAGATCTGGCGGCGCAGAGGTCGTGGGGGCGCGGAGGGAGGCGCTTCGCCGCCGGTCGCCGCCCCTCGCGCGCGCCGGCGCCGGCGCCGCCTACCCTAATTGGCTACGGAATCAGAAGATAATCAAATCATAAGTACACCCATCGAGCTCCAGTATTCGATTTCTTGACCGCACGATCTCCATCCGACGGTTCACATGAACCTAAATGGGGTTCGGGGAATTTTTCTCCGACCCCCCACGCGACCACCATTCGCATCGATCGCCTTCAACCACTCCTCGTACATCTCGTCCGCACGTGCTTCATCCAACGGTTCACGTGAACCAACAGGGGTTCGGACTATTTTTCAAATTTGGGCGGTTCGAATTTTTTTGCATTTGCCGCTCGATCATATATAGATTATCTCCATCTGTAAAGAAATTTTCTCCTATAGATCTCACACAAATCCTTACGGCATGTTCAGAACTCAACTCACAACTGAAAACGTGCTACTCCATTTCAGGGTCAATTCATTCATAGATGGTTTCATCAGTAAAATACTGGCACACATTACATATATCCAAAAATCATATATCTCCATTCTGTTTGCAATATAGATCACACACTTATAAGAGCAAATCCCCACAAATGGCGCGGGGCCTTAACTCGTAATCAGGGTTCACAAAAGAAAGAGATAAAAAGAGCGGGGTCTTTTCCCCAGCTCATTAGCTTTAGTATTATTCTGCTTAACTGACCAGCAATGGCTTTACATAGCGTTAAAGTTAAACAGATACTGTCCTGTCCTACTGTACAAAATACATTACAAATTGACGAAGGGGCGACATCACCCTGACGGAGCCCGCCCTTGAGAATATACAGTATCATCATCTGTCTATAAACGGTCAGGATAAATATAGGGGTCACCATAATCTGGCAAACCTCTTCTCTACATTTACCAAGTCATCAAATGCATCCAGCATAAAATTGCCAGTTCTCATGGCTATCAATCATCTCGTTGCCGTTCCATTTGTATTGACCGGAAAATCCGTGCTGCTGACTCTGAAGCAGTTCGTGAATTATGTGGAACAACCTTGATAACATTGGTCTGGTTGTCCCGGCTGCTATATGAGGGCTGAGGCTGGTTGTTCTGAGCTGATACTGTGGGGAAGGCGGATACAGGACCACTTCCACTGCATTGGAACCTGTCAAAAGGACTGCTAGCGCTGCTGGCCTGTGCCTCGCTATCTCTTGAGGCATGAAATCTCCAAATGCCACTTGGATGTGACATGTTACATGAGATCCACGACTGCTGCTCAAAGTTCCCATAAGGCTGTGGCATCGAAGGATGTCTCCCTTGTTCGACTACAGGTGCCGGTGCAGTTGGGTTCATCACTGGTATGCTGAAAGGCGGGAAGTAGTTCATAGGCATGGAAGGAGGGCCAGGAGCACCCATATGTTGTGGCTGATGAGGCATAGGAACACCGTATGCCGAGTTCATGAAATCTCCAGCTGTTGATGGAAGACTCAAAGGAGTACAGTTGGCATAAAACGGGGCCAATATGCTACCAGCTGGAGGGCACGGACCAGAATAAGGCTTATAGACAAGGCCTTCCAAAGGAGACATGACAGGGACAAGCCATTGATTTTGAGGTGGTTGAAGTTGAACGCCCCAGTTATTTTGTTTGTTATCAGAAGCAACAGGTGTAGCTCGACGATTGCTTTTAGAGACGCCATTTGTTGCAGCTTGATCACGTTGACCACTGCCAAGCCCAGTATCATGAGGGGAGGGTGGGCTGTCTTCAGTGTTTTCTTTTGATACCTCCGGTTGCTGTAGACTTGGCTCCACGTCATCGATGGTTGCGACTAAAAGAGGTTGTGCTTTCAGGTTTTCTTCCACCAGCTTGTTCTTGCTACCCAACAAGGCATTGCCAAGGCAAGGATCACTTTCAATAAGTACATGTGGCGATGCTGCAATCAACTTCTGCACCTGATTGTAAGTCAAATACAAGTGTGGGTTATAAACAGATTATGGACAAAATCCTATCCACGAATTAACCTGCTTAAGAGTGGCTAGAAGGAAGAGAAATTTGCTAGACTCACTTTTACCAACTTATGCAGCTCAAAAACCTGGACAGCAAACACCCTCTGTTGACTGCATAGAGTTTAAAGAAGATTAGAGTGTAAAACAATAAAGGGAATCATACAGTAGCTTGGTAAAGCAATACCTACAATATCACTTTAACAGGGACACTTTTACAATCTTTTTAAATGAGATTATGCCATTCTTCTTGACTAAAATGAAAATAAAATTGAAACCACTATAGATTAAAATTTTCATTGACATCTCCAAAAGAGAACATTTCAGTAGTACAGGTGTAGGTGGACAAGAACAACAGACAACAACAAAACTGATTGACCTAGTTGAAAGGAAAATAAAACATGCCGGCATTCTGCAGACAACTAATCCAATTACAAATCAGCAAATGTTGAACTAGATATATATTAATTCTGCCAAAGAAATTTGTAGACATGCTGACTTGTAAGCCCAAAATTTGGCATAAGTATGCACAGTTTCCATGCATGAGGTATTTGAAATATCATCTGGAGCTGACATCTATTGGCATTCAAATATGAAATAAACCAAAAACAAACGAGATAGTCATCATGTTTTTCTGTCTAAGATGATTAAGATCAACCGCAAATTAAGAGCAAATAACAGTAAAGCAAGGGAAACAAAACAAATTTTATTCATCAAAGCTACCTATACGTAATTAGAGCTGCAAACAAGTCTAGTTTGAGTGGGCCAAACTAAGCTCAAAAGGATAGTTTTACTTACTTCATAATAGCACGTCTTGCTTTCCAGAAATGCTTTGTACCAATGGCTCCAACAATTTTATCTGGAGAAATCTCCCAACCAGTTATACACTCCACCGAGGAATCAGACACATCATCAATGTTCTCTGCATCGTGTTGTTCTAGCAACCTTGACACATCATCACTTTTCTCTGCATCGTGTTGTTCTAGCAACCTTTTTCTCTTTGTACCTGTTTCCTCTATGCCTCCTTGCGGTAAATTATAATGCCTATCAGTATTTTCAGAAGATGGATTAGAGGAAATTTCATTTCTTCTCATTGGAGGGTTCTGAAATTTCATGGAACCTCCATTTCTGCTTGTCGCTTGATGCCCACTATTTCCACCATGTGGCTCATCAGAATCATTTATAATGCCCGTCTTATCCATCTTAGGATATACTTTAGCATGCCTGCTTTCAAACATATCTTTGGAAGCATGAAAGGATGAACTTTTTTCAACTTCCACGTTTTTGGATGTCTGTGCTGCTTCCATCTCCTTGTCTTTCAAAGGGGTCCTTGATTTCACATCAGAAACATGGATTCTCTCCAATTTCTTGCTAACAGTGTTATAACACTTTGTGGATGATTTGGACACTGTTGAAGGGCTTTTGTGTGGATTTGCAGCAACAAGGGGTGTTGATTGGTCTTGAACCCCTGCATTCTCTTGAGTACTATATTGAGGAAATCTGGAATTGAAGACAGAAGGAACCATAAATTCATCATCATCGGCCAATCTCTTTCCCGAAGAACTCTTTATTGTATTTTCTGCTCTTCTTTGTGGTGCCTCAGCAGTTGATCTTGAAGCATAAATATCCATGCCCTTAGTCTGAGAGGATAACATCCCCAGTTCTTTTCTTGAACCACTAATCTTCTTGTTGATCTTATCTGAATTGATCTTTTCAGTAGAATGGCCAGGTCGATTGGAAGGCACATTGAACGGCTGGAACAGAGAACTGTCACGTCCATAAACCTGGAAGAAAATAAAATCCATTTCAGTACTACTAGATTTAGTGAAAAATTGCGAGGATTCCACGCTAATTGGTAGGAAGCGTATTTAAACTATCCAAGAACTTCCATGTTGAATTAGAAAAAGTGGTGGGAGATTAAGTATCTCATGGTAAGATCTCGATTTTTTATTTTATTTTCGACCCAAAGAAGGGCAAAAGAGACATAATACTGCAAATGGACTTCTTTCTTTCTTATTTTGTTCACATTTCTTCATTTGGAAATCTATGACTTGGACTTTTGCCATTCGCACTTCATGTCTATAACTATCCCATTATCAAAAGGTAGTTGGATGTGTTGTGGGAGGCTATTGCAGATTTGTTCTAAAGAATATTTTCCACTCCTAAATCCTTGCTGAAAACAGTATTAGAAAACCGTTGATATTTATCACATACAGGTTGAACGTGTGCCTGACAATCAAAGCATATCAACCACCATTTTTATCATTCCCTTTCACGTGGACCTTTTTTTTTCGGCAGGCAAAAATGCAAGACACTAAGGAGGAACCTAGTGTCAATGATTTAAGGAAGGTGAGCACGTCAGGGAGAATAGAACACAGTACGTTGAGCAGCACTACGGCTACTCTTTGCCACCTGCGCTACATGCAGTTTCACATGTGGACCTTTTTGTTTGTATATTACAAACACCAGACCTCAGCAAACACAATCATAGCATATCTGGCCATATACAATTTGCAATAAGCTATAATATCCGATATTGTTTGCAAGGAACTTATGCCCCGTCTCCAAAACTTTACCGGAAGAGCTGATGTAAACTGCATATAATGGTTTTGTTCTGCTCTTTCGCCTTCAACACAAGTGAGTTATCAGCACGGAGAAAGATCAATAATGACACTATGACAACGTGCAAGCATGTTACTCCTACCACAATTGTATGACTATATTTGCAAGTAATTGAATCACATGTCGACGGCATGATAGATTAATCAGCACAAAAGGAACATGGCATTTGTGCCTCAAACTGGGCTTCTCGGCCTTAATCTTATCCAATTTTTCCATGTGTTTAGCTCCGTTGCACTAAATTCGCCCATCAATTCATCTATCCCAACCGAGATAACTACAAAGGGTAAGGCGTGAAACGCCCCCTCTGACCTAGCTCGTCGACGTCGAGGGCACCATTTGTGCCTCGAAATTATCTTCCCAGCTTTTAGTTCTATTCGATTTGCAAGGAAGTTTAGCTCCATTGCACAGAATTATTGCCTACCAATTTAGGCTTCTAATTCGATTCGATTTGCAAGGCGTTTAGCTCCATTTGCACAGAATTGTCGCCTACTAGTACCAATTTAGCAGTCGCACACACTACCCCCAATCGAATCGATCATACGGGCAGGACGTCGAGTCACCTGGCTCTGGCTCTGGCTCTGGCTCGCCGCCGACGTCGAGTGCGCGGGGCTGCCTCCTACTCCGCCGCCGCCTCCTCCGCCGCTGAAGCGATGCGAGGGCACGGTGAACTGCTCGTAGAGCGCCATCTTGTTCCGGGGCGGCGCCCGCGGGCCTCCGCCCTTGGCCGCGTCGTTGACGTGGAGCCGCGGGAACAGCGGGCCCATCACCTTCCCCTTCGCCTCCTTCCCTCCTCCTCCTCCGCCTCCTCCCCTCGTCGCCATCGCCTCCCGCCGCAGCAGCTTCTCGGGGGCGTCAGGCCATGGCGGGGTGGAGGAGGTCGCCGGTTTTTGTGGCCATGGAAATGGAAGCTACGGGATTGTTTTGCTTTTTTTTTTTTTCTCTTGGATCTGGATGCCATGCTCATCCATACGCCCATTGGAGGAGTGAAAGGTGGGCCCACCGTGAGTGAGACATTGGGAAAAAAGAACCGGTCACTGAGCCGGTTTATAGGCTTTATGATCACCGATTCAGTAGTGTGACAACCGGTTTAAACCGTGATCATGAAGCACATTTTTCTGACTGAGCATGTATAATCAGTGGCAGGTCTAGAAAATCAATTCATTGGTGTCATAACATATATATCGGTGTCATAGTATGCTAGTTATGCTTAGATCATGATGTTATAATATATGGATAAGCAGTTTTGCTATAGCTTTTGTCAAAAGTCGTCGGTGTCGTCTGGCACCGGCCCATATACTGTAGATCCGCCCCTGTGTATAATAGTATGCTATAAACCAGCTATAACTTTATAAGAATATGTGAAAAAGGTAAGAGAAGAGAGTGAAGAAAAGTGAGATTTCTAGCCAGCTATAGCATGGATTTTAAGATGTTGTCTGTGTATGAGAGGGTAGGATCAGTCATTAATGGTATAATATATATTTATAGATAACTATTGTATGAATAAATTATTAGATTGGATATAAATGATTTGGAGCTAGTAGTTAGCTATGCTATTAAACTTGCTCTTAGGCTTCATTAGATTTGTCTCTTTTGGATTAGCTACTTCTTTTATCGCTCTCCATGAGCATACTATTTTGAATTGTTGAATGGTATCTTTTTTTAAAATATATATTATATGGAAATTTGTACCGCACCATAATCAACTGTTCCCGCTATCGACACCCAACCCCTATTTTACCGGATCAAGGAGACAGAGTGCGACGGTGATGGAACTGCTCCTGGCGGCAGGAAGAGAAGGTATTGGTCTCCTTCTACTCATGCATCCGGTTGATGGGAGAGATAGGCGATGCCCAAGATGCCAACAACATGATGAGAGAGAGGTCTCGCTCAGATCCTGATCCTACCAAATCGCTTCCAGCGACACTATTGTCCCCTGGGATGGGAGGTGCTCATGACGACGGTTGGACGGGCGTAGATGAGGTCAAAGAGAAGGCCATCATCTTCATTGTAGAAAGAGCCCAACGTTGTTGCCCGTGCCAAATCGAACACCATGAAAACCTGTTCCACGCACTCATTGCCGTGGACGCCAGCCTAGAGCGGTAAAGGAACTGTGGTGGTGGTCGACATGGCTGAAATGTGACCAGGCTTCAAATCAGTCAAGGGGGGAGCTGTCGTCGTCATCGGTAAGCCGAAGGGGTTTGTTTCCTCCTTTGTTACACGGAGTCTAAGCCCCACCGTCAGCGACTGCGATGGGTTGAGTAAGTGAATCTAGGGCTGCTACTGTTACCTTCATCATTTTTTAATCCACTCGAAAATATAAGACAATTTTGAAATGACTACCTTCACCCAAAAATATAAAAGTTTATTTTAGGACGAAGGTTTTTCAATAGTCGCAGGTCTGACAGAAGAGTACAAACATACAGAGGTTTCAAAGAGATTTCGAATTACAAAAAGAAAAAAAAATGAAGTTCAGAATATGAAAACAATGTTTAGATGAGGAAGCTGACAATGAGCTCTGATCAAATTAAATGCGAGGAAATGAGTACTCCCTCTGTCCCACAATATAAGGGATTTTGACATTTTACCTACACTGTTTGACCACTCATCTTATTAAAAAAATTGTGCAAATATAGAAAACGAAAAGTTATGCTTAAAGTACTTTGGATAATAAAATAAGTCACAGATAAAATAAATAATAATTTTAATTTTTTTAATAAGACGAATAATCAAACAGTGCAATACCTTATAATTGGGGAAGTAGGGAGTATAATTTTTCCGGGCCTTCAACCAAGCATGCTCTCTATCAGAGTATCAGTTCGATCTATGCTTGGACCATTGAGGGTGTGTTTGAGGAGTAGGAGATTAGAGAGATTGGAAAGATACGTAAAACGAGGTGAGCCATTAGCTCATGATTAATTGAGTATTAACTATTTTAAATTTTAAAAATGGATTAATATGATTTTTTAAAGCAACTTTCCTATAGAATTTTTTTACAAAAAATACATCGTTTAGTAGTTTGAAAAGCGTGCGCGCGAAAAACGAGACTCAATCTCCCCTGTCTCGCGAACGAACATAGCATGAATGAACAAATTGAACAATGTCACCACAAAGCAAAACAATCCTTAAACACACAAATTGTGTTTTGCAAAAAAAAACAAATAATCCTTCAGTTTGTACCTCTATTTCGAAAGAAATAAACTTTGAATCAGACGATCATCAAATCGCCATCGATCTAAACCCTAATTAGCTGTGGAACCAGAAGATAATCAATCAAATCCCAAGTATAGTGTTGCTGGACTCACGTCCGTTTGATTATTGACCGCACGATCTCCATCCGACGGTTCACGTGAACCCAACACGGGTTCGGAGAATTTTTCTCCGAACCCCACACGACCACCATCTCGTCCGCACGTGCTTCATCCAACGGTTCACGTGAACCCAACTGGGGCTCGGAGAAACCTCGTCGCCGGAGTGACGTCACTCCTCCGGCGAGCCACCGTGCGGAGAGCGTGAGGTCATCGTCCCGACAGGTAGGAGAGCGCGAACGAGTTGCTGATCCCCGACGACGTCACCTGCATCCCGCCGTCGCTGGCCGCCGCCGGCGGCGGCAGGCCGAACGGGCCGGGGCCGCGCGCCGCCGGGTCGAGCGCGAGGAGGTCGACGACGATCATGTCCGACGGCGGCGGCGCCTCCACGGCCTCCGCGGCGGCGCCACGCCCCTCGAGCATCTCCACCACGCGCGCCATGGTGGGGCGCGCCCCCGCCTTCTCCTGCGCGCACCACAGCGCCACGTGGACCAGCCTCCGCACCGCCGCCTCCTCCACCGCCTCGCCGGACTCCACCACCCGCCTGTCCAGCACCTCCATCACCCTCCCTTCCCTCGCCATGTCTCCGGCGATCTTCGGGAAGTACGTCCACCGCGGCGACGCCGACGACCCGTCGTCGCCATTCTCCGCCTGCATCAGGTTGCGGCGGCCGCCGACCATCTCGAGCAGAACGAGACCGTAGCTGTACACGTCGGACTTCTCGGTGATGCCGACGCCGAGCAGCCACTCCGGCGCGAGGTACCCCGTCGTGCCGCGCACCGTGGTGACGACGCGGCTCTGCTCCTTCCCCACCAGCTTGGACAGCCCGAAGTCGGAGAGGACGCCGCGGAAGCCGTCGTCGAGGAGGATGTTCTCCGGCTTGACGTCGAGGTGGAGCACCTTGCTGCGGCAGTCATGGTGCAGGTAGGCGAGCGCCCTCGCCACGTCGACGGCGACCTGGTACCGCGCCGCCCACGGCAGGTACCTCCGGCGGCGGCGATCGCCGGAGTGCGGGGAGAAGATCCACCTGTCAAGGGAGCCGTGCTCCATGTACTCGTAGACGAGGAAGCGCGGCCCGCGCGGGACGAGGCAGAAGCCGACGAGGCGGACGAGGTGGGCGTGCTGCGCGCTGGCGATCGCCGACACCTCCGACTTGAACTCCTTATCGGCGTGGTCGGCGCCGCCGTCGATCCGCTTCACCGCCACCGCCGTGCCGTCGTCGAGGATGCCCTTGTACACCGTCCCCGACGAGCCCCGCCCGACGGCGTACTGGAACCCGTCCGTCGCCGCCGCCAGCGACTCGAGCGTGAGCTTGCGCGGCAGCCCGGCGACCTTGCGGAAGTAGCTGTACTCCACGCGGATCCGCTCGTCCTCCATCGACGGCAGCCGCCTCGCCATGCGCGCCGCCCGCCTCCGCTCGCCCGCCGCGTGGTGCAGCAGCGCCGCGGCGGCCGCCGACAGCGCGGCGGAGACGATGACGGCGGTGGAGAGGAAGAACGGCCGCGACAGCCGGAAGCGGAGGTAGAGAGCGAGCTCGAGGACCAGCAGCACGGCGGCGGCCGCGCCGGCGACGATCTTGGCCGTCTTGCTCTCCATATCTCGGCCACGTGACGTCACGCCGTCACCGGCTCGCCGTCGCCGGCGACGCCGCCCGCCATGGTCAGTTCTTTGCTCACTTTGGACGCGAGTTAATTTCGGATTTTGACATGATGGGTTAGCAATTAATACATGTGAGAAAACACACTGAAATCTTAAGAGTGATAGCTACATTTCAACTAATGTTTGTGCCTAGTGCATCACTATTGGATTTATCTAATTATCTTGCAGTAGTAAGGAGCTGACCTGATCAAAAAAAAATGAAGGGAAAAGATATGTAGGTGTGGAGATCAGGAATGGTTCAAATCAATAAAGTGGATTAAATGCAGTGCAAATTGGAATTCTGTCACGCCGAATCCGTCCAAAATTTTCGGTATTTTGTGTGGTAAAGTTAACACTTTGGTTGAATGCATCCTCACGTGAATGACATCAGTGAGTGGTGAAGTGTGTGGTGCTGGTTTGGCCAAATCCAAGTTTGAATGCATCACTGTCTCACTCATCAAAGCAACAAATTGACCACGTAAGCAGTAGGAAATTAAGGATCATATAAAGAAATTACAAAAGCAATTGACTGTTTCATCCAACTGCTTGGTTATAATCAAAGATAACTGAACTGGATAGGAGGGAGAAGGATCATCAGAATGCTGACTTCATTTGTTTAAACTGAATTGAACAGGACCAAGGTTTGTGAAATGTTCAGATAACAGATCATACACCAAAATAAATGGTCCAGGTGGCCATTGAACATGGAATCATCCATCAAGACAAACAAACAAACATACCTATTTTGAATTCGACTAAGGTGTGCTGAAAAAGAGAATTGCATATCATTGTTTACTGAATCCTGTTATTTGCATGAACAAATCTCTAAAAAGACAAACTTTGTTTTTCCAAAATCCACTGCTGCTCCAAGTCATCTGAATTGAGAGTTGACATGGATATGGCCATATCCAGTGTTTTTATTGCTAGAGGTGACTTCTGCAACCTTAATGATGGTGGTGATCGTCGTCATCGTCATGCCCATCAGGATCTCCTCCTTCTCCTATCACCTCAAGCTGTGAACATAAAGTTGCAAGTTGATAGCTCAGCGAACATCAGGACAACATACCAACATATGCGCGATTTAGTGGCTCATGCAGAAATTGCTCTCACAAGGCAAGCGATTTTGTCAACAGAAAGTACCAACATACCGAGAAATACTGAGTGCAGACAGGGCATTCATGTGGCTTGCCTTTCTCCAACCAAAACCACACGACATCATGCTCGTCCTCTGAAAATATCAATCATTGCAATTTGCAGTTTAAGTTAATTCCATTGGTGGTTAGTCGATGAATATTTATAGAGAAGATGCAGGAGAAGATTTCATCCTAGAAGCTTCTTTATAGGTCAAAAACAAGGAAATTAGCATGCACAGGTACTATACCTCCTTCACCACCGGGACAACCAACAATCCTTTTGTTGTAGTATGACTGAATAACAGCTGGAGCTTCCTATACAACATGGAAAAAATATTAGTCCAGTTCGATCACGCAGGAGTGGAATGAACTAAACTGAACAGTGACACAAAAGGTACAAAGGGACCAAATCAAGGTTAGATGCAACACGCTAAAGAGTAGTACCATTCATCAACAGGCCAAAACAGAATGAAAATGATGCCCATTAATGTGCTGATAACCTTATCAGATCACACCTAATGCAAGTCTGAGGGGAAATGTCATGAGAAAAACAATTTGTAGGAAAATAGGGGTGATAAAACAAAAGAAACCACTGAATAAATAAATAAATTGTATAACATCCGTACATGTATCGATCACCACAACTAGGGGGCAATCTGCCTTAGAGACTAGAGATATATGGGAAAGCGAAGAATTTTCAAAACACTGCACTTATTTTATTTCCTGGAGATAGACAACATAGAAATTGCAAATTCAACTTCATGATCAAATGTACTATTATTGAGCAACCAATAACTAAAAGGTCCAACATTGCTGGTTCAACTAGAAACCTCCATATTAGCCGGATCCACATGGACAGAATCAGAGAATAAACTCACAAGATATAGTAGCAGGGTTTTCCAAGTGAAAATATATTTCTATGAGCATGTAAAGGAAAGTCTTAACATGAAATTGCTAATCAACAATTCTCTAAAGAAAAGCAAAATCAAGATGCCTCCAAGTACTAGATATAAGACAGGCCCCCATAATTATGCATGGAAATTCAGAATGTTATAGCCTACAAAATCCCCAAAATTATTTTAACATGCTGAAAAAAAATGCTCTACTAAAGTTATAATGAAAACAAAGACAAACAAAATCCTCTTTGTTAACACAACAGGAGTCAGGCAACACAGCCCAACCTTTCTTAAGCAAGCACATCTGACAAGTGAACAAAACAGCTATTTATGCAAGTTTTTCCTATCAACAGGACTATACGAAAAGTCAACACATAAGATGTACAGAATAGCAAAAGATGTGACCATACGAAAAGCCAACACATAGCAAATAACATAAGCTGGAATGCACACACCATACAGCAAGGCAAAAACTTCGGTTGCCAATGACCAGCCCACAAAAATACAAATCACAGATCAGTGTAAACATAAACAGAATTACCTATGTTGTAATGACTTTATTAAACGTATGTGTGTTGAACTTTTGCCTAATGTTTGTGCATAAAAATCTTTCCTATGTAGGGAAAAGAACTGGTAGCTGAACCAATGCTACAATCTCACATATTCATATTCAGTGAACAAAATCCCTGCCGTGACCCAGCTGCTGCATCTGCAACATCAGAAACTAACACCTATCTCTTCGCCGATTCCGTTGAGCCAAAGAAGCTTATCACCTAATATCAGAGGGGAACATGTCAAGCTATTAAGAGAGCGTTGCATCCATGGCCACAAGTCTTAAGCACTACACATCAGCATTAATTCAGTCAGCAATCACACACTCCATCTAACCAATCAATTCAATAGCTCTCAAATACACGGGTCAAAACATCCATGGAATTGATGTGAAATGGAAAGCTCTCAGCCTCTCATCTCACCTTGGTACCAAAGGGCCCGACGGGCGCGTCCATATCAAACCTCTTCTTCCCCTGAAATGAAAAAAAAATTCAGACCTTCCATCTAGTAAAAAAAAAAAAACTTCCACTAATAAATCAATATCAAGAGGAGAGGTGGTTGACCTGGAGCTCGGCGGCGATCTCCTCGCGCTCGAGCCCGGTGGCGATCGGCATCACGTCCTCCACCCTCGTCCTCGCCTGCGCCGCATCTGCGCGGGACAGAGACAGACAGACAGACAGACCGCCCCGTCAAATCGCCGCCTCACCACCTGCCGGGATCGGGCCGGAGTTCGGGAGGGAATGTTACCGAGCGTGGAGAAGAAGAGAGCACGGGGAAGGACGCCGCCGCCGATCGCCGGGGAGCGGCGGGTGAGGGCGGAGCGGTGGTGGAGGAGGACGGAGGTCGCGCGCTTCCACATGGCGGGCGGCGGCGGCGACGGCGAGCGGCGGGAGATGGAGAGGCCGGAGCGGTGGTTAGGAGGAGGAAAAAGGAGGCAGCTTTCGGGCCAATTTGGGGTGGTTTTGTCGGCCCACGGAAATCAGAACAATCCACTTGGGTGTAAAAATTTAACAAATTTTGCAACGAAATTCGTAAACAAAGTGTGTTAGAACAGTGAGATGATTGTTTAAATGCAACCACGGTTTGGTTAGTTTGACTTGTTTATTTTAAAGTTATTATTACCAAATGATAGTGGTTTCGATGGATAGATCGTTATTAGTATGGTTTGGTGAACCAAACAAAATTGATTGTGCATATATCTCGTTTTTATTTATTTATTTTAGATACCACAATGATTGGGTCTTAAGATTTTCTTTAATTATTCGACGATAGGCATGTACTATTGATATGAAAAATAATTCCAGTTACACGTGACTAAGTGACTTATATTCATATAGTGATATAGATATACTAGCTTGTTTCTAAAAGAAAAAAAATAAAATAAGATAATTGCAAAAGAAAAAAACAAAAAGGATCGACAATTACGTGTAGAGTAACTTAAAGTTGAACAAATTGTGTTCATTTGTTTAACTTTTTTTTAAGTATGATTGGTTATTTATGTATATAAATAACACTTCTTTTACCTAGGATCTTCACTGCATATCTACGTGGCATCCGGCTCGTAATATTTCACGCCATATCGGCCTCTGTTGTCCCCCGGTGAAGAACGCGAAGCCAAAATAGGACACTCGTTCTCCCGTGGCGAAACGATGGCGTGTGACATGCAGGAAGAGAATTGTGAGGGTGCATTGTGGAGGTCATATCCTTATCACATCATGCCTTCACGGTCGTGGTCGCCCCCGCTCCTAAATCACATGGCTATGTGAAAACTCATGTCCTTATAGAGTTTTAGGCCTAGCTAGCAAGTGAGACCCGAGAAGTGCGTGTCTTGCATTGCTACTGTCCTTTACTATCTCACATAATTTAAAGAATACGTCTCTGTCCAAATTTAATATATATAAAGTTATCGACAACAATCTAAAATTTACAAATTTTCTCAGGTTTTACTGTCTGCAGTATCTATCTTCAAAAGTTCAAATGGTAACACCACCACCATCAACTTGGAGCACGAAATTCAAAGCACAATCCAACGGCGGAAACACACGATAGCCACCCTTTAAAAATCCCACCCCCATAAACCCTAGCAACCCAACCCCGTCCTCCTCTTCCCCACCAAAAACCTCGTCTTTCTCCTCCTCTCCTCCCATGGCGTCCCTCCCCAACGGCGCCGCCTCCGCCTCCGCCTCCGCCGCCGGCGGAGGCCCGGCGGTGGTCGACAAGGAGGTGGACTTCGCCAACTACTTCTGCACCTACTCCTACCTCTACCACCAGAAGGAGATGCTCTGCGACCGCGTCCGGATGGACGCCTACCACTCCGCCGTCTTCCGCAACGCCCACCACTTCCGCGGCAAGGTCGGTTGGGTTTGATATCTTCGGTGCGATTTTGGGGCTCTGTGTTGATGGATTTTGGTGGATCTGTCTTTGTCAGGTGGTTCTTGATGTGGGTACCGGGAGTGGCATCCTCGCCATCTGGAGCGCGCAGGCTGGCGCCAGGAAGGTGTACGCCGTGGAGGCCACCAATATGGCGGAGCACGCGCGCGAGCTCGCGCGGGCTAACGACGTCGCCGACATCGTCGAGGTGATACAGGGGTCCATGGAGGACGTTGTGTTGCCAGAGAAAGGTGATTCTCTCTTTTTTTTTATTCCTCGATTGGTTGTTATTAGTCTCTGAAAATAAGGGGGAATTGATGTGGCTGGTGGTAATTATATTCGATCTCTTGCGAACGAAACATAGCTTAAGAATTTGTTTCCTAAGGAGAGGAAAAGTTATAAAGAATTTAATGGAAACAAGAGGTTACCATAATGTGTGTTGAGTATTGATTGCTTTGTTTCTGTATATCTTTGGAACGGCAGTTGATGTCATTATATCGGAGTGGATGGGCTACTTTCTATTGAGGGAATCGATGTTTGATTCTGTCATTTGTGCGCGTGATCGTTGGTTGAAGCCAGACGGTGTAATGTAAGTCTATTTATACTTCTATTCATGCTAATATAGACAGAATTTTTGAATGTTGCACACACTCTTCATTCTCTGGAAAGCAAACCGTGGTAGTTAGTTAGTTAGTTATCCAATATCTTTGATTACATTAGCAAATACGGTCTTGTCATTTTTCTGGAAGATGGCAATAACCTCTCAATTCTGTTGTTGGTTCAATGAAATATCTGTTTCACTTTCAGCCAATGTAAAATCAATTTTGGTTGCAGGTATCCCAGTCATGCTCGGATGTGGCTAGCACCAATAAGGAGTGATCTGGCTGAAAATAAGATGGAAGATCTTGAGATTGCTATGCATGACTGGAATCTATTTGTTGAGGATACCGAGTCTTATTATGGGGTCAACATGAATGTTTTGACAAAGGCATACCGTGCAGAACATGAAAAATACTATCTTAAGGTATGCCTGAATCTGTACAAAGACTGGCATGTTTGATTTAATCTTTTGTATTGCATGTGCTGTCTGCAAGAAAAATGCAATTTAAACAATCTTATAAATATACTTGTTAAGCAAGAATCCATTCATGATAAGATAAATACCAAGGTGCTTGCAGCACATATTTGATTAGTATAGTTCATTACTTATTTTATTCTGTATGTAATATAGGATCCATTAGTATCTCTGGATTACTTGTTCTGGTTGTTCCTAAGGTCTCAGCAAAAATAGTAGTGAATGCACATTTTCCTGCAAGCTCAGTGTACATTTGGTTGTATTCTTCTGCAGTCTGCCATATGGAATAATCTTCATCCAAACCAAGTTATAGGGCAAGCTGCTGTTATTAAGGAAATTGATTGCTTGACAGCAACGGTTGATGAGATTCGAGAAGTTCGAGCACAGGTTACAATGCCAATCAAGCTGGATATGACAAGATTAGCAGCTCTTGCTGGATGGTTTGATGTTCATTTTCGAGTATGTCAAACTGAACTGGCACTTAATTTATCTCATGATTCAGTGAGATATGCTCACTATTTTCTCTTTAACTCTTTCTAGGGTAGTAAGCAAAACCCTGCAACTCAAGAAGTTGAGTTAAGCACAGCTCCTGATGTGAATGGTGGCACTCACTGGGGCCAGCAGGTTGGTTTCCTGGAATTAAGCTATTGTATTTTATAACTGCAGAAATTTGTTACCAGCTAGTCCATAATTTGAAATGTATGTATTGTTCTTTTTAATGTGTGAGTGTTGATATGTAAAGAAGAAATCATGTAAAGAGGGAAGCTCCAGTCTCTCTTTTATTTACAATTAATTGTAAGGACAAACAGATTTCAAAACCTTTCATGCAAAACTGATACTTAGATAAAGAGCAATATCTTTATTTGAATGGCACATGTTTATGTATAAGGGCTTTTATTCAAAACAATAATTTCTTTCAATTGATTGTCATTATGGAAATGCATATCATAGACCATAGTTATCTGGCACAATTCACACATATTTACTATTGCTCTGATTCTTTTCAAGGTATTCTTGCTGACTCCGCCTCTGAAAGTAAACGAAGGGGACAATGTTAAAGTTTCTTTCACAATGGTTCGCTCAAAAGAGAATCATCGGCTCATGGATATGGAGTTCACATATGAATTGCATGAGTCATCTGGCAAGCAGCTTCCCGCAATCACAACCAAGATTTACTTAGAATAGAGCAAGGTTTGGTTCCTAAGACTACAATGTGTTTATGCATTTTTCTTTCTTTATTTTCAAAGTCAGATAATATGCCAACATATAAACTGTAGTGGGCACTAATAGTCATCTTAATACCCGCCACGCAATGCTTTATTTCAGTGCTTTCTGTAACAATAAGAATTCAACCTAACCTGGTCCTTTTTTTTGTTGCTGTCATTACAGAACGCTGACTGGATCTGATTCAATTGATGAAAAGATTGTGTACTGGCTACCATGTCTGAACCTTGCTTGATAGTTGGAGCCAAGCTGAACTCCTCCCTGGTGTATTTGGTTTTTAATAGAGGGCCTAATGGCCACATTGTGTAATACTACCCAGAATATGTACACCGAGGCTGTGTTGTGTGAGGCATGATAAAAGTGCCAGAGATTTTGTTGTATCAGTAATTCATCGCTCGATTGGTTAATTGGCTTCATGATTGCTGTCATATGCCCATGTGTGCTCAGTCTCAAAGTCAAACACCTTTCTCAACATTTTACAGGAGTAGTTGATGCTCCCAGTTTGAGAGGGCTCAGTAATGATAAATTTGCTGTTTTCTGAAGAAGTCAACAGCCTGAAGGATTTGATTTAGCCGTTCATTCACAGTTCACACCCAATTTCAACATTTTATGATCTCATTCAGAGAGGATTCACTGCATCCAAAGTTCTGAAGGGTTACTCGATTACAATTTAGACACAGCTCTCTCTTCACTTGGAGTCATACACACACACACACAGCACATTTATTCCTCGAGTATTTACATCAGCAAGATGATTATCCCCTTCCTGTTACAAGCACTTGATAGGGTTTAACATAATCATCATCAAAACAGGGTTTATAGTATGTACAGCCCCCATGAACAGATTACAGTAAGCATCTGGAGCACAGATAAAAACTTGCAAGCTCTTTCAGTGGTGCACACAGGCTGTATCTGCCATGGCAATCTCAGTTTCCTCTGAAAGACTGAAGAATATCCATGAAACAGCAATTTGGCTGTCTTCTACCAGCTCAAACTTGCTGCACAACTTTTCATTCTTTTCTAGCTCATTTTTCCTTCTTACTTCATCAACAAAAGTGCGTCTCGGTGTCGCCCTAAAAGGGTCAGTGCGGTTGCTGCGATGTGATGAGCAGTCAACCCAGCCATGTCGAGCTGCTCTGTGAGCGAAGCGTGTTCGATGTACCTGTCTGGTAGTACAATGGGTCGCCACTGCAAGTTAACAGAAAGTCACTGTTTGAAATTATCATTTATACAAAACATGAATGGAGCACAAGGCAAGTGGCATATTGCAATACAAAAGGGTGAAGCTCCATTGCAACTTGCAAGAATA